CTCTCTCATTTCTCTTTAGCTTTCTTTCTTTTTTATTTTCTTTCTCTTTATTTTTCTTTTTATTTTTCTTCTCTTTATTTTTTTCTTTTTATCTTTCTCTTTATTTCTCTTTCTCTTCTCTCTTTTCTGTATCCTTCTTTCTTTCTCTCTTATCTTGTTATTTCTCTTTTCTCTCTTTATCTTGTTTTTCTCTTTCTCTCTTCTTTTCTCCTTCTTTATCTTTCTTTCTTTTTCTTTCTCTTTATTTTCTTTTTTTCTCTCTCTTTTTTTTCCCGTTCAGTTATAAATAATGTTAATAATAATAATTATTATCACTATTATTATTATTATCATCATTATTATTATCATCATAATTACTATGATCAGTTATACTTACTACTACTACTGTTATCAATTATCCTTATCAACATTACCATTAACAATATGATTTTTATTATCATCATTATCATCATTGTTACAGTTATTATCATTACTGTTACAATTACCATTATAATCATTATTGTTTTACCATTACTTCTACTTGTGCTTCTCGCTCTCTTTCCCTCCCTCTCCCTCACCCCTCTCTCTCTCTCTCTCTCTTTCCCTCCTTTTTTCCCTCCATCTCCCACTCACTCCTTCTCTCTCCTCTCTCTCTCCCTCTCCTCTCCCTCTCCTCCCTCTCCTTCTCTCACTCCCTCACTCTTTATCCTTCCTCCCGTTGATTTGTCCTCACCTTCCGAATCCCTCTCTTCTCACTCAGTAGAGGACACTGCAAAGTAGATTAGGCAAAGGATGAGTCACGCAAAGGAAAGGATATAAAAGAAAAAATAATAAAAGAAGTGTTTGCGAGATGTTGACACTTGTGTTTTTTTTTCTCTCTCTCTCTGGTGATGTAGATGTTTCTTTGTCGTAGTGAGAGTAAGTTCACAAAGGGCTATTAGTTAAAAAATATATATATTAATTAGTTTTAAGAAAAGTATTAATTCGTTAAAAAAAGTATTAATTAGTTTAAAAAGTATTATCAGTTTAAAAAAATAGTATTAACTGATTTGCTCTGTCAGTGACAACGAAAGTAAGATTATTAAGAGCAAATCTAACCAGAGAAAAAAAAACAGAATCATGACGGTATAAATCTCACCAACAGAGATCACGCTGCATCTAATCAGCCCGATGACGAAATCGATCGAAGAAAGAGAGAAAGAAAACAAAAAAAGCGAATTTCAATAAAGCCTTGCAACAAACAGACGCAGAAGATGCCACACGTCACGAGCGGGCGTGCGGGGTCAACCCACACAACAGCACAGGGACAGACACTCACCAGAACGTGCTCGGCTTCAGATGCTCAGGTGACCTCTGACCTTACGACTCATGAATTTGGAGGGGAAACGAAAGAAAAAAAAAAGAAGGGAAATGAAAGAGAGAGAAATAAAGGGAAAAAAAACTACAACGGCGATTCTTGCAGTTACGGTTAGTTAGAAAAAAAAACAACGACGGAGTATCAATGAAGTTGTAAAAAGCGATCACAACCCGGAGATATCGGATTTCCAAACAGAAAACGCAGAATTAATATGCGCAGCGAAAGCGGGCCTCACACCCTGCCCGCGCTAATGACACTCTCGCGTAAACTAAAGCGATCTGGAAGGCTCTCATTTGACCCTCGACCGCCGACAAATTGCAAGCGTTTGATGCCGAGGAAATTACGGCAGATCAAAACCGGCGGATCCGAATAAGCGATAACCAATGCCGTTCTTAGGGAAATCGAGCCTCATCCGAAGGAGCAACTGATACACACGATGCTAAACGGATATGCAGGCGTATACAAGCACGTACAGGCTCGCACACACAAACACAAAACGCACACACACACAAAACCTCCACCCCACCCGGCCCCAAATACACACATACGCACACACGAGACCCCAACCCCCACACACACACCCACCCCCCACCCACTACCCCCTCCCCACCCCGACCCCCCACCCACACAACCCCTCCCACCGACCCCCCGCACACCAACGCCCGAGAACCGCCCCCGTAACCCTGGATTTCCCAACCTCTGCATCCAGGACGATTCAGAATCCGGCGGGCGCTTCCGTGTCTCATCGAGTCAGCGCGGAGGCGGTGACGCAATAGAGGAAATTCAAGCACAGAGTGAGGTCAATCGGTGTTCTTTCCAGTGGTTCTGTGCTTGCATGAGGTCGGGGAGTCGGAGGGGGAGGAGGGCGAGCGAGAGTCGGGGGGAGGAGGAGTTGGAGGGACGGGAGGGAGGGAGAGCTGGAGGGGAAGCGGGGGGGAGGGGAGGGGGAGGAGGAGGAGGAGCGGGAGTTGGAGGGGGAGGGATGAGAGTAGAAGAGTGCATGTACTCAAAGAGCCAATTACATGTCTCTGTGTGTATTTAGCACGCAATGCAGTACATTCACCTCATAAGGAGCATTTCCCTTTAATTTCATCCTCGCATGCATTTGCTTGCCTCCCTTCCCACCACCACTCTAACTTCTGTAAGTTCAAATTGAAAACTTCAACCCTTTGTCACTACCACCTACCTTCATTTACTCCTTTCATGCCTTATCATGTCTGCTTGCCATTATATCTGCCTGCTATCATGTCTGCTTTCATGCCCATATCTTCATGTCTATACCTTCATGACTCCCTCCATCCCTGCTTTTATGACCAGCTTCCATGTCTTCTTTCACGTCTTCCCTAATATCTGCCTTCATGCCTGCCCGAACTCATGTCTGCCAAACCCCCCCCCCCCCCCCACAACCCTCTCGGCCTCTGATCCGGATTTTCCCTTTAGGTCAATACAGAAAATAAAAGAAAAAAGGAAAAAAAGAAAGAGAAATAGACTGTGAGAGTGACTGAGAGAGAGAGAGAGAGAGAGAGAGAGAGAGAGAGAGAGAGAGAGAGAGAGAGAGAGAGAGAGAGAGAGAGAGAGAGAGAGAGAGAGAGAGAGAGAGAGAGAGAGAGAGAGAGAGAGAGAGAGAGAGAGAGAGAGAGAGAGAGGAGAGAGAGGGAGGGAGGGAGGGAAAGAAAGAAGAGAGAGAGAGAGAGAAAGAAAAAAAGAAAGGAATAATCTCCGGGTTTTCCAACGGGCTGTTCCTTCTTCGAGTCCCAAGATCCCCATTACCAACGACATAACAAAGAGAGAGAGAGACAGAGCGAAAGAGAAAAAGAGAGACATCCAGACAAACAGAGACATACCTAGACAAACAAATAAACAGATAAACCGACAGAAAAAAAGACAAACAAAAAAATAAATTTTTTTCCATTCGACTCTTTCTTCATCCAGTCCATCGATTTACACCCCCCCCCACCACCACCACCGACCCCCGCCCCTTCCCGTTAAAACGAGGCATGTAGATGAGGGTAAATGTCTTGGTGGGTCCAGCCCTGCCTTTCGAAACTGTTGCCCTGGAAGAGGAAATGGCCAGCTGCAATATCCGGTTCGGCGAGAGAGATATGGGTGGTATGGACATGCTGAGAAAGGTAAGAGAGGTATGAATGAGAATGAATTTCATAATGCAAGAGATGTATTTTACCGGTTTCGACTATATCTTCGTCAGAAATGCAATGTCTTCACAATACAAGAGATGTATTTAACCGGCTTCGAATACATCTTCGTCAGAAATGCATGTATATCTCACGAAGACATATCCGAAACTGTTTGACTACATCTCTTGTATTGTGGAGATATTGTATTTCTGACGAAGATACATTAAAAACCGGAAAAATACATCTCTTGTATTGTGAAGATATTGTATTTCTGTCGAAGATACATTAAAAATCGGTAAAATACATCTCTTGTATTGTGAAGATATTGTATTTCTGTCGAATACATTTAAAAACCGGTAAAATACATCTCGGATTTTGTGAAGATACTGTATTTCTGTCGAAGATACATTAAAAAACCGGTAAAATACATCTCTTGTATTGTGAAGATATTGTATTTCTGGCGAAGATACATTTAAAAACCGGAAAAATACATCTCTTGTATTGTGAAGATATTGTATTTCTGTCGAAGATACATTTAAAAACCGGTAAAATACATCTCGGATTTTGTGAAGATATCCATTCTCATTTACCGTTTCCGCCATGGATAACGTAAGAGTAACTGGGGGAAAGGGAAACATTTTTATGGACTCGGCGTTCACTTTCTCCTTGTTTCCATTTCTTTGCTTGTTTCCTTTTTACCTTGTCTTCGTTCGTTCTTTCTTTCTCCGTTGTTCTTAATCTTTCTTTCTTCTTTTCCCCCTCTCAAGTCACGTCACGTTTGTTTGCTTGCTTATTTGTTTTTTTTAATTCTTTTGTACTTTCGTATTCCCAATCCCTCTCTCTCTCTCTCTCCCTCCCTCCCTCTCACTCTCTCACACTCTCTCTCACACACTCTCTCTTACACTCACTCTCACACTCTCACTCACACTCTCCACTCTCTCACTCTCTCACTCTCACTCACTCTCAGATATTCAAAAAGTGAGCAAAGAAACGCCACCAAATGAACAAACAATAAACAAACAACTAAAATAGGATAATAAATAAATCAAAACGTCGATCGCAGTCCCACACGTTTCGTCGGCGCGAGAGAGAACCGAAGTAATCCTGTCCTTCGCTGTGACATACGTGGCCTTTTACGTCACACGTTTCGTCAGCGTAACATGTGTGAGACGTGATGCTGAGGGGATGATAGGTCGTCTGGAGGAACGCCGTGTGAGAGCGCGTCAGCTGGAACGACCACATGGCCTTCGAAGTCGTAAAGCTCATGATCGAAACCGCAAAACAGATAAGCACTGTCATGTGGTTCGAGTTTTATCGTCGACACTTTTTTTCTTTCTTTTTTTCTTTCGTCGTAGATCTTTTTTTTCTTTTTTTGTGATCTTTTTCTTTTTTTTTCTTTTTCTTTCCGTCGGATTTTTTTTTTTTTTTTTTTTTCTCTTTGCGTTTTATTTTCCTTTTAT